TTGTGTTTGTTGGCCATCCGTGGCCATGCACAATTACACCTCAACATCCGTGGCCATGCACAATTACACCTCTACACTTCTAATCCTGCATAATGCACGGGTATAAGTAGTACTAATCATATACCTGCATTTCCCATATCCTCTCCCTTTGATGCTGCTAATCCTGCATAATGCACGGGCATAAGTAGTACTAATCACATACCTGCATTTCCCATAAATATGCTAAATTGCTCTTGATATGCAAATTCTTTCATCAAGGCGCCCTTTCCCCCCCTTCCAACCCAGCGCATATATATGCTCCAAGCACGTGTGCTGTTTCATTCAGACGCTGTCGCCTCGACAGACCTGGTTTTCACCTGAGGATGGCAGCTTGCGTTGTGGCCGAAACGTCGTGAGAATTATTTTATTATGTTTAATTTTTTTTATTGTATTACTTCCCTTGTACGTGACTTTAGCGAAAGAACCAAGAAGATTTAGCATTTCTTCTTTGTTGGTCAGCTGGCGGTACTGGTACTCGTAATCGCGAGCCAATTCGTCGTAGAATTTGTCCCAGAGAGCCTTGGTATCTGCTGGCATGGAATACAGCAGAATGGGAGCGAAGAGTTGACGAAGCTGGTACGGCATCTGACAGAGCGAGGCTTCTTCCAGACACGCAACCCATTCGCGATCGCTCTCAAGGTAGCCTGCTCGCATGGCTGCTTCCAGTGGATTGTTTTTTTTATTTTATTCGTAACGCACCATCCATATGCGCTCCACCATCCACCATGCCCTTGCATGGCAAAGACACAGCTCCGGTGTGCGTCAGCGTGTGCGCCATCCACAGTGACATTGGTCAGAAATTGCACCGTTCCGATCGCACACAGGTTAGCCCCTGCATCCTCCGTCTGTATGTACACACACAGACAAATCCGTTATGGGGCCACCTTTTTTTTTTCTTATAAAAAAAATATGTTGTTGGTGTTTTTACGTTTACGTATTCCCACTGTGGGTGTTTTACGCATGCATCAGATTTTTGGGTTCCTCACATATGATATCAGAGGTGTGGGTCACTCCATTTCTCAATCGAACAATAACGGGGATAGTTTCAGTTATGACAGCTTGCAGATAGAAACATTGCATGATCGTATACTAATAATGACATAATTGTACCCCAGTGGAGGGCATCCCCCACCCGGCGCTTCTTACCGGTACTGTGAGACTTAGATATCCAGACCTCTCCTCCTCCTGAACCGTTCACAATACCCTGTGGTAGTACCATGATCATCTCAATAAAGCGATCACTTTCCCATGGCCATTTTGATCCCGGGAGTTACCCGGGTGGTGTCACACTGTACTCATTGTTTTAGCATGTCGCAAATTCCGATATGGCTTGTGTAACGGCCAGAGAATGACAGCAGCGGGGGCCGGGCTGCAACCTTTTTTGACAGTTTATTAAATTTTAAAGTGCATGGGATTGGCACTCCAAAACATGATAAGTGTACAGTAACGCCAACTGCATCCGTGCCAAACATGATACGCGGACACATGCTGCATATTATGCAACACATGCCCTTACCAGCAGCAGCATGCACAACATCTGAATTACACAACCGAAGTAGACAGCAAGCCGTCCATGGAGACGTGATCAACGTCAATACATAATAATGGTAATAAGCCGGATAAACCGAAAAGTACCAATTGTACCCATCAAACAGTCAGCTGGGTTGCCCCATGGGGGTATTGACCCATGGGCGAAACTGTAGGGGTGCGCTACGCAACTGGCCGTGGTCCCGGCAGGTGAAGCTGCCAGCTCAGTCCGCTAAGACTCACTGTATAGCGACCCCTGCCTACTCGTAAGGTAAAGTTGTTTGGGGACTCCACTAATCGCAGCACGCAGCACCCATTTTTTACATAAATAAACGTAATATTAGCGTAACTACCATTCGCACACTTGCATACACACCACACTCACACAGCGCAGGGTCTGCGCCCACAGTGCACTGCAGCACTGCGGCGCAGAACTTGCCAAACCTATGCTATCGCTCTCTTCCGGGCGTGTTAATTATTTATTTTTATCGAATCAAAGTGAGCTGTGGCTTTTTGCCGGCTGTTTTATTTTCATCGAATCAGAGCGAGCTGTTTGGGCGGGTCCGTAAATAAATTAACGTCCAGATACGCACGCAGACGACCAAACCAGCGTAGTTGTTTAAGATTTATGCACGACAGACAGACAAAAAATCCCTGGTGGGCAGTATGGAACATATTGTTCCTACCTGTGTAGTGAGTTCTCAGGGAGACAGACGACGTAGTTGAGGCACACTCTTTTATTTAACCAAACGGCGGTAACAATACTCGAAGGGGTAACGGCCCCTTCACCCGTACTCAATGGGAAACACCCCTAGCACTATTCCCTGACTGTCCTATTCCTAGTCCTCCGCTATGAGTGCTAGGAGAGGCTATCTGATCCGGCCCTGGTCAAGCATGGATCCCGGCACCCAGCTAACCAGGCCGTGCTCTTACAAAAGCACCGGTCCTGGAGCTCTTGGGGCCGTGCCACTGGCTTGCCCTGCTCGGCCCTGAGAAGGACAGCGAAACAGGGGAGTCCCAGGGCCTATTCTGCCGGTCTTCAGTCTTCCCTGGTAAGCTTCTAACACACTGGCCTTGAGCCCTCTGGCTCCCCGCCTTTTATAGGAAACCTCTCCGAGGGGTGGGGCTATGGGGGATCACAGCGCCCCCATGGCCCCCCAGGGTTAACCAATGCGGACGTGGATGTAGACACCCGTGTGTGGGTGCAGACACCCTTGTGTTTCTGTCCGCCTTTCTCCCCGTAACAACCCCTACACCTGTATAATCCCTGGTGGGCAGTGGGGAACTGTTGTTCCTACCTGTATTTCGAGGACCATACCCCGGAGCTTGCCGTTGCAAGACTGATTTGGGTGGTTTGGCTTCTTTGTTTTATCCAAAAAATTTCGCCTCCGGCTAGTCTTCTCACAAAGGACCGGAATTTATTTGATGATAGAAGAACTGTCCTTTTGATTTGTGACCGTTTGTCCCGGTATACGTGTGTGTCTGTTTTTTTATAATTTATTTCATTAATTTCCGAAGTCACATCAAGGCCCGGCCCCTGTCCCCTTCCTCTGGTCATCTCATGGCCTGTGGTCACAGATGCTCTCAATTGCCCCTAAGTGTGGTCATTCCAGTTTTACAACTTTCCGCAGTAATTAACCTCCAGATGTCCCCTATGTGGGCGAGGCAGCGGGGGGGGGGGGGTCCTTTTGGCCTTTTGTTGTCTCAAGGGAGGAGTTCGCAGGTATGCATCACTGCATTTTTTTGGAACTCGCTGAATCCATATATATGAGAAAATCTATTACATTTAAAATAGGCAATATCACTCTTTATATATGTTTTTGGAAAAGGCTATATACAACAACACACATACACCGAGACCACTCACTGGTTAAGGTTATCGGGTTTATTTGCTCTCCGTATTGGGTAGGTTATTTAGCAGACGCCCACATTGGTTGGGTTATTTATCCCGAAAGTCGCCTCTACGTGTTGTTCTTTTAAGGCCACAGCATTATTAATTTTTAGTTTGTTTATATGAACTGCGTTTGAGCGCCTTTGCCTGAGCAACTTTACCTAATAATCCACCGCTAGAGATTCGCCCACGGGAAGGCACCACGTGTCCATGCACTGCAATGATATTCGCAGGACCAGGCTCCAGCCAAATGTGTTATAAAGACCTGTGCCAAACTCGGACCCACATCTAACAGAGTGGGTCCCTGTCATTAACATCTGGCAGTTCACCAGTGTTTGCTCAAGCGAGCCTGACTGCTGATGTGACACTGAGTGTCGAACCCTGTCCAAGGTGTTGCTTTTGTTGCTGTTGATGATATGGACTCTTGGAAAGTTGTGCGGCTGACGGGATGAGTAGAACTGCTCGAATTGTGTGCAGAGGCGGCTATGTGGAGGCTGTTATGCTCGGATATTTTGTTCCTTGTGATGCAACAGCTGTCGTAAGTTTGTCCACATCATGTGATAAGTGCAGAACCTATAATGCATATACAGTATATGCAACTCAACCCTGTAGTCCGAACCCAAAAGCCCCGTCCATAACCTGCATGTAATGCACATATATCCACCTCAACCTTATAGCCCTAACCATATGAAATTTTCTGGATTCAGAATTCTATGGCGTTGGAATGTGGACTCCTGGATGTGAAAGTCAGACTCTGGGAAGTGTAATTGTAATTCCTTGATTTGGAATCGGGACTTCCACTATGGAATTCCGACTCCCTGGAATAAAATCCGGACTCCCTGGAATGGAATCGAGACTCCTTAGGCTAGCAAGTGAGATGCCTCAAAAAGGAATATGGTATATAAAACAATATGTGCTCCAGATAAATAACTCCAGAAACCCCAAACCTGCTCAGGACCCACCTGTGTACCCACCCCTGACCCACTGCGGACTCACCCTGGACTCCAATCGGACCCACAAAGAATATTACAAGCTCCAATCCGTCACAATTGATACATATGTAATGACTCTCGGACGATGGGAACTGTAGACGGTTGCTTTATTATTATTTTGGACGCTTCACCCGGATAACTTGGCCAGGGATAACACGCAAGTAGCGACGGCGTGAAGACAGCGACGGAATGAATACAGCGTCGACCCCGATCCCAAGGCAGCCCCGAACGTTTCCCCTCGCCTCCTGCCCCCGCCACGCCCCCTTTCTCGAACTCTCTGGCCCGTTCCCGAACGTCCCTGATGGTTCCCTTCTGTCACAACTCGCCCTCTATTATTATCAATCCCCTGTAATTTATACTCGCGCCTGCCAGTCCACTGTCTCCACACACGCACTGTCTCTACACATACAATGGATCAACAGCAACTTCAACAACCATTCCATTATTTGGACAACTGATGTGGAGAGAATGCAATCCTAACACGGTTTATACAGCAGATCAGCTTTTTTGACAAAAATGCAAATCAATATTGACTTCCACAAAGCCAGCAGTAAATGTTCTGCCCATGTTTTATTTACAAAAGAGGCTCAATATCATGAAAATTAAACCTGTGCAACATATTGGGCTTATAAATGTCAGCGCAATGGAATAGCAGTAACGTGATGCTTGGTTCAATATTGTGCAGCAATTCTATTTGACACTATCCCCAAATGTAGCGTATATAAAAACACAATCTTAAATCATATTTTACATTTAGTCTAGACAATCAAGAACACAGTTTAACAGAGGCAGTACGGTAAGTCCTCACTTAAAGCGTGTTCACACCACGCGTTTTCGCTGGAATGCAGTTCTTCCATCAGGGAACCCTTTTTACACAACACGGAATTATAACGTGGAACGTGCACTGTTATAATGCGGAATACATACCGTTATAAGACAGAACATACCCGTTATATCGTGCAATACATCCATTATAACATTAATGGCGCCCATTAAAACGTCGACGACGAACTACTTTATTGAACTGCGTGGCTGTGCGGTTCGATACAGTTTGCGGAATGATACTGTGAGGCAGCAGCATACTCTCTGAAATTGTTATCGCTTAAAGCATTGTTAGCTTCACACGCCACTTTTCAAGAATGCAACTACCGCATTAAACGAGGGCTTACTATATGTTACGTTTACAAAGAACGTTGGGTGAATACCCTTGATGTTAATTCCAATTCCCTACTGTGAGGCGTGGCTTTGCAATTGTCAGTTTAAGAAATTGTAAGTTTAAGAAATAAAGATGTATGTTTCAAAACGCCAGTTACTCAATCGTAATACAATATAGATCATTTCAAACGGAAAGTTATTCTACACTTCTGTGCATAATAGGATCAGCAATGTAATTTGCAGGCGGATTTTTATAGAGGTGCCGAAGCAATGGCATCGTTGTTGGGTTCCTGTTGTTTCTGTCGGCCAAGCGTGACTCGCAGGTTGGCCCAGAAGAGGGCCTGCTTCCCGCGGTGTGCAGGCCACTCCAGGTAGGTTTTGCGCGCCATGAGTCGACGCAGCCGGCAAAAGCGGCTGGGCACCGAGTCGCGTGGGATGGGCTCCAACAGCACGAGCACCAGAGCGTCGTCTCGACTCTCAATGAGGCGCTGCTGCGCAAAGTACAGCTCGTAGTGGCACCACTCACTCTCCACGAAACTCCGCGAGATGACAAAGAGAGTCTTGCGGCTCTGCTCGATGCAGTCAATGATGTTGTCCATGATGTGGCGGCCGGGAACAAAGTCCCGCTCGTGCACGCAGAGTCGGAACGGTGGTACTGAGTGCGACTCCAGCTCAGGCAAAAGCTGCTCCATTACCCAGGCAGCGTCGTGCTGGCTGTATGACACAAACGCATCGTAGTCTTTGTTTCCGTCTGGGTCTGAGAGGAAATTCCGCCGCTTGGCTTGGAGCCAAGCCCACGTCATGCGCACGTACCAAAGCGCATCCAGGTACCAGCAGAGCCCGACCAGGAGAGCGGTGCAAACGAATGTAGTAACACAGGCTATCACGCTCTTCATTGTTGTGTCACAGTAGAGTGTGGGGAAGGAGACCGAGGACAGCTGTTTACCAACTTCATTCTCTGGATTGGAGCAGTGATATTCAGATGGCCATCCTTCAATGCGCAATGGTGAAGAATTCTCACAGAAAGTGACAAAGTGGCGGATGTTGCACGTGCAATAGAATGGGTTTCCCTTCATGTCCAGCAGGGTGAGATTACCCAGACGGTGCAGGACAGAGGGCTCCACTGTCCACAATATGTTTCTGGCGATCGTCAGCACCTTCAGCCAGGGCAGAGCCTGGGGTAGCTGAACTGGGATGGTGCTCAGCTTGTTGTTACTCAAGTACAGCTCTTTCAGGTTTTCAAACTTCATCAATTTATTGCCAACGTTTTGGATCTCATTGTTACTCACGTCGAGTGACTGCAGTGATGTTGGCAGGCAGTCAAACACGTCATCTGTTAGTAAATTGGACGAGATGTTGAAAACTTGCAAATTCGAAGGCCACTTGCAATTGGAATTCCATTCACTGACGATCTGATTTTCAGAAACATCAAGCAGTTTCAAAGAGGGACAAATTCTTAACATGGCACCGACATTATGGATATGAGTCAAATGGTTTTTCCTAAGAATTAGTTCCGTAAGGTTTGGTAGTCGTACTTCAGAGCATGTCAGGAATGAAGTATACTCTGTCAACAAATTACCCGAAATGTCAAGGGTAAGGATATTTGTTAGGCCACTTAAAATTCCACAAGGTAAGTAATAGAGGTTTACAAAAATTAAAGCCAGTGATTGAACGTTAACTAAGAAAGGTTGGAGATTTAGAAGTGCATAAAACGAATAAGGTCCTTTGATAGTAAAGCTTTCAATCAATATATGCCGTACATTTGGAGCAGACTTTAAACTATCCCTTAAAGGAAAATAACCATAGCCTTCATATTTAATGTGTCGTAAATTCAGACATCTTAGTTTCGTAGTTTCTATGACTTCATTTACCAGAAATTTGGCAGCAGATTCTTCGAAGTAGGTATGTGATATAGTTAACACTTCTACCATGCTCTGTGGCTTTGATATACATTTAAAAGGGTTTACATCACCAGAGTAATCAGTAAAATTAAGGAATTCCAATTGCAACTCCACACTGTTACAGGAGACATCACAGATTATGTCAGTGAGCAGCTCAATGTTTGTGTGCATGGTTAAGGCCAGAGTAACACTCTTTAGACTGTGGAATGCCAAGAGAGAACCTCTAGTGTAGATAGTCAGGTTTCCAGTCACAACGGAGAGATGTTCCAGTTCCATTGCCTCGCTGACACTTTGGTGCATTTCGGTGACATTCGGACCCCCAACCTTCAGATGATACAGAGTCTTGAGAGATGTGAAGGAACCTGGAATATGTAAAGAAATATAAGAGTTGTTTCTAACGTCCAGAGATCTTACAGACTTGAGAACAGCAAAGGAGTCATCCCATGCCCCTGGTAATCTGTTATTACTCAGGTCAATGTATTCTAAAGCAGAGTTGTTTGAGAAAGCCCAGGGGTCAAAGCTTGATATTTGGTTGAAGCCCACATTGAGTGTTTTTAGCCCTGAAAGTACTGACAGGTGCTCTCTATGAATGCGAGAGATCTGGTTGTAGGACATGTCCAGAGAGGTTATGGTGACTGGGAGGTATTTAGGCACAGAGTGCAGGCCCAGGCGTGAGCAGTCAGCTCTGACTCCTCTTATCTGGCAGCCGTTGAAGATGGAAGTCCTATGGCTCCACGCAGCTCCCGCCATCAGGACGACCATCACCAGCAGAGTCACGCTCATCTCCATTGCGTTCCCTTACCCTCGTAGCCAGCACTGACGACACACACAGTTACAACTGGAGGGTTATGCACGGTGAAATTAGTCTTCATCTCAGAAATCAACAATGTGGCTGCACATGGATCAAATTAAGTCCAGACTATGGAATCTTGGTGACATCTAATGCCCATAGTACCAGGGCTGGCAATATAAGCACATATAGAGATACCAAATTTGTCATGCTGGAAAAGCATGGTATTTTTTACAATAATAATAGTTTAGCACAAATAGGCTACGCATCCAGCCAGGTGGCTCAGCAGTAAAATGAGCCGCTTACAGTGGAAGATTGCGAATTCAAACAATGGTTGGTGGTTGACTTGGCCTATAATCTCTCTCGTGTCGATAAAATGAATATCACTTTGTCGGGACGTTAAGAGTAGTTAACGTTACCACCACCATAGGAATGTGGGATTCATCCGCCTGGCTGCTACTGTGACAGGAAGGTGATTATAAATCAGCACTTCTTACGTTAAAGAAAGACTCTGTCTATAACAAGACTGCTAATCGCAGATCGCACTTTCAGCGAATCAAAAATGGTCATCTGGAATTCGCTTGGTATGGGCCTTCCACCAATTGCCAAGCAACCGGCATCTGTCCAGGCCAGCTTCCAAAACAATATTATAACGAGCATATTTCACCAGAGCGTTTGCAAAATGACAAGTGGACAGGCGAGCGCCACTGCGAGTTCTTTGGTACTCTATAAATATGGAGTATTATTATTACAATTAAGATAATCAAGGCAATGGTGTGGAGTGTAGCTTTTTAAAGAGTTGAAACGTGGACACAGAAGCAGGAGAAAGTGAGACAGTTGGAAGCTTTCTAGATGTGCAGGATGCAGAGAGTACGATGGACAGAGACGAGGACCAATGAAGGAATCCTGAATGGCATCAATGAAAGAAGAATGATCATGGAAGTCATCAGAACGAGAAAGAAGTGGATTGGCCTCGTAGTACATGGGAATTGGATGATGGACACGAATGTTGTGGATAAAATGGAAAACAAAATAGTGAGAGAAGGAGGACAGAGAACAGAGGCGCACGGAGAAGATGGCAGCCAAGGAGCTGCCGCACAGGCAGAGAAGTGCCACAGAAGATCACGATCCAACTCCTCTCTGTCTGCTTCTTCCCCCGCACGGCTCCACTGTGGAATTCTCTACTCCCAGCATCGCTAAGCTCTTACCTTGCTCTATTCAAGACACGTGTCAACTCTTACCTCTGACGGTGCTGTTTGTTGCTGACCGCTTGACGTTTTGGGGCCCGTGCTCAGCACCTGTTTAAACAAAATCCGGATCACAGCGCAATAAAGCCAAATATCCCTCTATAGTCTTTAGCAGCACCGATTTAGACCGGCAAGGCACACAAGGGGGTAAGTGGCCAGCACCACGCCGGGCCGCATTTGTCTACCAAGTGCCCATGTTTACACACCGCAACTAGTACTCATTTTAGACTGAGTCGACATAGGAGAGGCCCAGCGCCGGTTCAGATATTCCTTACTGATGTTGGCAATGAGCATGAATCGTAGCGCAGTGCACTAACCACTGTGCCACCGCTCCCATTAGAGCAAGAATAGTGTGGGTATATCATTGAACAAATCAGTTTAGCCGACTTGAGATTACAGACCCCAGTCAAATTTACCTTAAGTCACAATACAAATACAGCATTGCAAGTATGTGTGTATGTATGTATGTTAAACTTATTTCGCACCGTACATATAGGAATCTGTCCTAATCGGAGGTGTGGGGAAAGTACAACAAACTAAGCACACAAAGCAGTTCTCAAGAAAAAAGTTTTACATTTATATTTAAAAGTGCATAGCTCAAGTGGCAGAAGCGTATCTAAAAGAGCGCAATGCAGTGACCGTCTCTATTTGATGGTTAACAAAACACCATTGCGAAGATGACCGGAGTTCACGTGATAGTGTATTCTCCTTGACGAGAATCAGCAAGGTATTGTGGTTCATTTGTGGCAAGCACTTTGTGTCTAATGCGTACGACCTTATAATGTATTTGTTTGGCAACTGCAAGCCAATGCAGCTCAGTGAGCACTGGATGGGCATGGTCAGATTTTACAATACCCGTCACCACACGTGCCAAAGAATGTTGTACACGCTGCAGCTTCGTAAAGTTTGTTGCCAGACGTCCAATAGAGTAGTCAGTTACAATAATCGAGCCTTGTCGATACTATACGACACGCCAACGTGTTGGCCATGTTACAACTCAATAGTGGTTGAATGTCAAACTTGATTTGGAGCTTTCGTGACTGCAGGAATTATTATTTGGTTCTTTCGGTAAAGTCACGTATAAAGATAAAATGATAAATTCAATTAAATACTAGCATACGACGTTTCGATTGCAACACAAGCAATCATCATCAGGTATAAATTAAATAGAAACACAAATCTAGTATACTTAGAAATGTAATGTAATGTGTGTTGCAATCGAAACGTCGTATGCTAGTATTTAATTTAATTTATTATTTTATCTTTATATACGTGACTTTACCGAAAGAACCAAAGAATAGTGGTTGAATGTGTCGTAGAGCCCTGATATGAAATTGCAGGACCTGACTATATTTTGCACGTGGTGATCAAACGACATATTCTGGTCGAGTATAGTTACTCCCGCAATGTACTGTATTTTTATAGTTGTAATTACTTGGGCAGTTTCAATGCTCTTGTTATTTGATTTGGTTTTGGTATTCAATGCCCTGTTGATTTCTGTGCGGGGTGATCTGCTCTTATCAAGACGCTCATTCATCGAGCTAAGAAAGTGTCAGATGGTGACAGTCTGAGAAGTGAAATTTAACATGTTAAAGAAGTGCTGCAAATGAAAGGTTACAATGATGCACAAATCAACAGGGCATTGAATACCAAAACCAAATCAAATAACAAGAGCATTGGAACTGCCCAATTAATTTAAACGATCAAAATACCGTACATTGCGGGAGTAACTGATAAACTAGCCAGATGTTTAGAAAAACAAAATATCCGAGTCAGATTTGGCATGGTACATAAAATACAGAATTTAATATCTGGTACAAAAGATGTATTACCGAAGCTATCAACAGGTGCGTACATGATTAACTGCACGTGTGGTAAATGTTATGTTGGGCAAACAGGACGAATGATCAGCACGAGACTTAAAGAAAATCAGAGAAATATAAAATTCTCCCAAATGCAACTGTCAGCAGTAGCAGAACACGCGTGCCAACAAGGACACTCAATTGATTTTGATGTTGAAGTTGTGTGCAAAACTAGGAACTACCGGCCAAGACTAATTAGATAATCTATTGAAATTTAGAGAAGTACAACGTAATTTTACCGTTCTGATAGCTACAGGCTTAGTGTTGCTTGGAAGCGAATTATAGAGTGATACACTGTTTAACTGCATGTCTATATGATGTTGAAGTTTTGTGCAAAACAAGCTACTACTGGCCAAACCTAATTAGAGAATCTATCGAAATTAAAATAAATCAAAATAACTTTAACCGTTCGGATAGCTACCGTCTTAGTGCTGCGTGGAAGCGAATCATCAAATAACATATTATTTAAAGCATGCCTACAAAGGGCAGCGTACTTGAATAGGGATTACTGTCGGTAGGGCTATTTTAATAAACACAATAGACAGGATGGACAAGTTCAAAGGGCTCGCATAATGCACATGCATAATGTATGTTGCCTCAGTAATCCCCCCCCCCCATCCCACATTGTGCAAGAGCGCAGTAGGGTGGTCAACACATCTACGCCTCTATTTAAGGAACGAACCAGTAAGACTTCTCCACAAATTTGGCTGTCGCCTGATGAAGCTAGTTGTAATTCCTGGTGAAACGTCGTACTCAGTGTGTGAATGTTGTGGCTTGGCTCTCCAACACACTGGTGTTGTACTAGTGTGGTGGTCAAGGTTGACACAGGCGCTACAACCTAGGGGAGGGGTACGTACCGGTCTGGACTGGTCCGGACCGGTCGGTCAAGGAGGCGGTTGGAACCGCTCTGAGGGGAGGGGGCTGGCGAGAGCTGGGGCCCCGAGACACCCCCGCCCCTCAGAGAGGGGATATATAAGACGGCTCCCGGAGAGCGGGAGTCAGTCCATCTCATCTCAAGCTGAAGCAAGGAGCCGCCGGAGACCCTGGACCCCAAGCCCCGAGGATGTCGCCGAGCCGGGACTGAGTGGGCTGCGGGTGGGGTGTTAAGCTTCCCTCGGCTAAGGAGCCGCAGGTTAGAGTAGGAGAGTAGTCAGAATAGCCCGGAGGCTGTACCTCCCTAGGTTGTGTGGATTGGGCTATTCCCCAGTGCGTCAGAATGTCTAGCTGTTATTGAATAAAAGCGTGTGGCCTCTAAAGAAGTCTCCGTCTCCTTCAAGATACTACACTAGTGACAAATTCGCATGTTCTGTTTACGTGACAACCCTTACTAGTTGGCTGTGTCGGGTGGTGGCGGGTTTTAATGATACATTTATATATTTATGCGATCTAACCCAAAAACCTCTATTATGGATGATATTGATCACGAAAGCCTACGTGTTATACAAAGAAGTTCCATTAATTGCCTGATAGTTTTATTATAGTGCCAGCTATTGTTCTCAAGGAAACCACAGTAGCAGTGCCGACGCTTGTCAATGCAAAATAGACAATTGATGTATACCTAGTGGTAGCAAAGATGCAGGAAAAGCTTTGGTTGGCGAGGGCACTCGAACTTATCAAGAAGATTTTTTGGAAAAAGGCGACAATGTAGCATGGTCAGCCTACTGTGTATCTCTGAAAGATGACTCCAACTAAGAGGATAAGCAAGCAACTCTCACACAACTATTGCCACTCTTCTATGAAAAGGCAGCAACAGCCACCATTATCAAGCATGGTATAGATGTTCAGCGCCAAGCCATACAATTCCTCCACCCTGGCCAAATTCCTGTAATGGCCATGGATGCTCCGCTGTATGCCCTAACAAAGTCTATGCAACATGGGGAGGACAAGTATGTCGTCATGTTTGGAGACTACCTGGAGGACTCAGGTTAGACCACTGCACGAACACAGGCAGGTATTACCTGCTCAGGCACAGAAGATTAATTTCATCGCAGCTTCCACCTCACCAGAACAAGGCAAGCACACCAAATTAGTGCTTTGGCCTCTTGCTGGAGCTTGGCCTTGGCCAAGCTCCAACAAGATGCTTTCTCTTGCACGGAGCAGCCCCACATTGATGGAGACAAGACATGAGCAGCAAGAGCCCAACATTTCAGGACTGAGATACAATCCTCAGCCTAAACTGGGATACAATCCTTAGTCTCATCTTTATCAGAGCTGTTACATGTAGAGCGCCATTGTTAGGCTGTATGTATGTTACCATTGAGACGTACCTGTAGTAGCGGACATGTGTCAACAGGAAGGGGTAGACAGGCTAGGTGGGATGAGCCGGAACGTTGGGCCACTAGGGTCCCCAGACCCCAAGAGGGGGCTGGGGGATATTCCAGGGCCCCCTAGACAGTTCCAGAGGGAAGGCATGGCTAGGGGCTGAGAGACCCTAGAACAGGTATAAAAGCCGGACCACTGAACGGGTCCGGCAGTCCTCGTCCACCTGAAGACCTGAAGACCCAAAGAGCTTAACCAGTATAGGGTTAGCACTATAACCAGAGTGAGGGCACATTAGTCCGGAGGGGCTACCTCGTTAGTGTATCGGGTGTAAGGGGCCGTTACCCCTTTGTGTTATGTTCAACCAGTTGTAATAAATGTGTTGCCTCTAAGAAACCGTCTCTCCCTCGTCTTGGACTCACTACACATGTGTAGGGAGCGACTTCCGAGGCGCAATCACTGGACGATATATATATACGGCTACGCAGACAGCGACGGGAGTCAGGACCTGGACCCCACGACAGCCCCAAACCTTTGGCCACGCCCCCTTCTAGAACCTTCGAGCAGGTTCCCGGAGCTTCCCGACTTACCCCGCCTTTTACCTTTAACTCAGTTACGCCCCCCTTATAGTTGGTTATTACATAACGCACCTAAACTCGTGATTAACCCTCCTGGTCAAAAGATGGCACCCTGTCATTACACATGCAACAATATAAAACGAGTCTGGTTTCCAAAGGATACTGTCATTATTCAAATATACCCTAGACAACGAAATACCCAAATAATTGACTGATACCAATTGAAATAACAGCAGCCATTGCCACTATGTGGCTTTGACATTCCCATGGCGCTTGTGCCAGGCTGGGTGCACTCCGAGGCCAAGTGAAGTATCGAAGGCTCACAGACAGGAGGTTATGGGACAGACCCAGCTACCATGGTTTGAGTGACTGAGATGAATAGCAGATGCACCACCTCCACTGTGTAAACTTGCTGCATTTTAGCCACTCGGCACTCTGATAGTTGTGACTGTCGATCCTACACCCTCCGTTTTTACTGGAGGGTGACTGCCTCCAACTGCCTAGTAGCATCCTTCACGAGCCTCCTCCACAGAGGCCGATCTTGACACCGGTTATTGGCAAGTCCACTCAGCTCCAAATAATTTTGTACTGTATGAGTCCATCTCTTCTTTAGCCCATGTCACTCACTCACCCACACTCTCCTACTAACTCACTCACTCACCCCTCCACGTTCGCACACCCACTCACCTATCAGCTCATATCTTCTCCATCCTGTGCCGCGCCTACTTTGGCAGCATGCGGTGGCTGATCATGCGGGCTACGTAGCCCAGCTTTTGCAGACTCGCCTGCCAGAGGAGTTCACCGATGATAGGGACTGTTTCCAGATCATTCAATGATCCATGAGCTTCTCGCACTGTGATCTAGCCTCGTGGTTAAACCCAGGA